GAATAGATAGCTGTGGACACTTGGGTTCGTTGCCTGTTAATTAACAATACCTCTCATGTATTCCAAGGTCTCTACTTATTTTCTAATAAAAGACATCCAAGATATTAAATAGAATCTTTAATAGACAACAGTTTACTGTAGAGGTCTACAGATATTATCATGCTAGAATACAATCGGCAGGATTCTTTTAGCATTAACTGTGCAGCATTGCTAAGATTTATATATTTTTTTCCACAGCCATCCAGTCTAGAAAATATTCCCTCTCTCAAATTTCAATGGTATAATATTTGTGAATCTCTTGTTATTCTCTACCGCAAAGGATAGGATGGAAAGTATTGTAATGTCTACAATGTGACAGCACCACTCTGAGATGAAGTCTTTATTAACCAAGCAATTTTAGGGAAATCCACAAATATTGCTGTATGAGCAAAATAAACCTTCCTAACCCAGGGGCTTAGCCCCAAGATCCCCACCCCGATCGCCATACCCCCCCCCCCTCTCCGATAGGGAAATACAACAAATGTTGCGACCTGTTCTCTCTCTCTCTCTCTCTCTCTTTTTTTTTTTTTTTTTTTTTTTTGGGGGGGGAGGCATATAATTTCATGAGTTGAGTATAATGTATCTCGTGGATTATTATTGTGTCATTAGATTTTCCTGTAAATGTGTACTAAAGTAACAGGTGTTGCACATATTCCTTATTATTAAATTGTGAAGGTAACTCCATAGATGATGAATAGCGTTTAATTTTGAGTCATTCAGACAGTTACAGGCAAAATTTACCTGGAAATACTTGGCCGTGGGAAACTGATGCTATATTGCTAAAATTATTGTGGACATGTTTGTAATGCCAGATTGCACTATTACATTTCCTTATACAGATTTATTTATATGGTATCGATAATTAGTTTTCCAATATTTACCATTTACTCTATTAAATTATCCTAATTATGGCTTGGCTGACTGTTGTGGGCAGCATTTACTTTCTATTTATACATTACGTTATTCAGATGACAATGAAATATATATATAATATATATATATATATATATATATATATATATATATATATATATATATATTAATTATATTTATTTAGGAGTTGAGTAGCAGATAGAGAAGTTATCATAAAATGTAAATTTAATGATAGGCATCCTAGAATATGTGTATCAACTATTTATTTTTATTAATGTATTGTTTATTGCTATGAGATCCCAGCATTCATTATTTTGAAATATTTTCCCCCTTGTTATTGTTGTTTCTATTTAATATGTATCAATATTAATATTATGATTATTGTTGTAATTATTATTATCTTTATAGTTTATATTACCATTAATTTGATTATCATTATCATCATCATTACTGTTATCATCAAGTAAAAAAGAATGTGACAGCCAATAGCTTAGGTAATCATTTATGATTCTACAACTTGAAGGCAGAAGTTTTTTTTTTTTCCATATTTGTAATGTGTATCTTTATCATTCTATACACACACACATTTATACATTACTGTATAAATGTAAGTGGGTATATTAACTAGTGTATCATTATTATTATTATTATTTTTTATTAGTCTCCAACTATAATTTCTCTGAAAGTTAGTTGGCCCAATTATTTACTTTTTTTTCTTTTGTAGTACCACATTGTAATTGATATGTAATTTATTTCTTATATTTTTAACTAACAGTAGATTTCCTTCTTTCTAGATGAATCTCAAAAATCTCTTGGGTACCAGTTCCGCATCAGCCACAATCTGGTGTCAAGCATTATTCCTGAAGTATGCAAGGCTATATATCAGGTGTTGCATGAGCAGTATCTAAAGGCACCATCTACAGAGAGGGATTGGAAGCAAGTGGCCGAGGAGTACTACAAACAGTGGAATTTCCCTAATTGTATCGGTGCATTGGATGGAAAACGTGTCCTTATTGCTAAACCTCGGAACTCAGGCTCTGAATTTTACGACTACAAAGGACATTTTAGTGTAATAATGATGGCATTAGTTGATGCAAATTACAAATTTATGTATGTGGACGTTGGTGCAAGTGGCCGAGCAAGTGATAGTGGAGTGTGGGACAGATGCACTTTGAAAGAAAGCATAGAGGCGAACATTTTAAATATCCCACCTTCTTCCACTTTACCTGTATCAAACAAGCAGTGTCCCTGTGTAATTGTTGGAGATGATGCCTTTCCTTTGAAAAACTATCTGATGAAACCTTGTCCTGGAAGGGATCTCAGTGAAGGAAAATTTATATTCAACTATCGTCCCTCCAGAGCAAGGCGAACATCAGAAAATGTCTTTGGGATATGGCCTTCTAGATTTCAAGTTTTCAAAGACCCTATAAATACTTCACCTGAAAATGTGAAATTAATTGTGCTTGCCACTTGTGTTTCGCACAACTATCTTCGCATTCACTCAATGAAAACCTACTCCCCACCAGAGTTCTTGGAATCAGCACCCTCAAAATGGACTGCAGAGACGAGGCCACAGCAATTATGCTAGGTCAATTCGTAAAACTTTGCTTTTATACTTCAATAATGAAGGTAGAGTTGATTGGCAAGGTGAAAGGGCACTTCTACATTAATGCACTCTTGCCGTATGTGTATATTTTTTGTACATATTTTGTATAAATTGAAAGTTATGATGATTTCTAAGCCTATTTTCTGTTGGAAGGATTTATCTGCAGTTTATTTCTTTGATTAATTTTGAAATATTACCATGTGTATATATTTTTGCTGTGTATATTTAGTAATCTTGAAATATTACTATATGTATATACATTTTGCTGTTTCTGCATATCAAAGTGTTATTTTTTTACATTTTTGTATAAATTGAAAGTTATGATGATTTCTATGCCTATTTTCTGTTGGAAGGATGTATCTGCAGTTTATTTCTCTGATTAATTTTGAAATATTACCATGTGTATATATTTTTGCTGTGTATATTTAGTGATCTTGAACTGTTGTTATATGTATATACCTTTTGCTGTTTTTTATTTCTGTGTTTTATAAATTTTGTATGGATTGAAGGCTATGATGTTTTCTAATCCTATTTCCTGTTGTAAAGATGTATCTGCAATGGATTTAGGTGAGTATTTTAGAATAAACATTGTCCAAGATTGAAATATACCAACTATTAATATTTACCCTTATAAAAGTTAAACTAAAAAAAAAACATGACTTTTTTGGATTTAAAAATACAAATTGGGATTCCTCTTCTTTACTAGCAATAGTCCATATACTACTGTATAAACTTGCTGTATTCTTTGTCAAATTTGGCCAGAACTTCGTAAACTGCCGAAGCAGCAAGCCTTTGTGAAAGTGGAGGATATGGCCTAACCCATTCTGACACACTGTCCAAAATTAGTGCAAAAATCTCTTTCAGTTCCTTGTGTCAAAGATGACTGCAATGCCTTCATAGTTCTTACACATTCATCATCAAACGGTTGCATTTGCGACAAACTTCTTTTCCTTCCTTTTCTAATCTTTGGAGAAGGCGGTGTGGTGGAGTTGGCACATGGATGATGGATAATGCGTCTGGTGTGGTGCACCTGGAATAGGTTGATGGTGATGGTACATGGCTTGGTGTGGATGAATATCATACAGTTGTGTGTGAAGGCCCCTGTGATCTGATGATGATGGCGATAGAATTCCAGATCAAGTGTGTTATCACTCTGAGGAACTGTTGAATATGTCCCTGGCAGGAGAGTTTCCTGAAAAGAAGTTGAAATAGATTTCAATATAAACAGATACGCATAAAGAGAGAGACAAACCGATTTCAGTATGCACATATATGTATATATGTAAGTATACGTGTATGTACGCATATACATATTTACATGTTTACATGTGCCCATGCATACATATATCCATGTATGCATGTGCTCACGCACATACATATATATACACGTATGCATGTGCACACACATACACAGAGTATATACCAGTCGTTTCTTATAAAATTCATATACTATTTTCTGTAAATGTTAACCCCTTGGAACTGGGTGACATGACAATGTCATAGCAAAACTGACTTAAAGGTCAAGTGACATGAACATGCCGCCATTGAAAAATTGGGCTGAGACAGTACAGGGAAAATGTCATAATGGAAAATTTGGTCTGAACGCTGGAACAAAGGATACATGGTAACATAGAAATATTGGGCTGAGGGCTGGCGTGATTGGAACATGCTGTTAGAAATTCGACAATGTGCAGGGAGTGAAGTACTCTCAGCCATAAGTCCAAGTCCAAAAGTATTAAAAAATTAACCCCTTATTCCAATTTCAAAACCAGTAAAAATATCAGAAATGATATACTTACATTGGCAGGGACAATTTGTGTAGAGACAGAGCGATAAATATTGACAGTATTGTTGATAAAGGAGATAATGTCAAACGATTCCTACTTCGATTTGTAGCCCCCTGAAGATCCACTTGGTGCTGCCTGCGTTCTTTTAAACTCCTTGAGGTAGTATGATCTTATGTTGTACTTTGTTCGCACTTAATCAATATTAATTTCTTAAACTTTCTGGGAGGCCATGGAGCGATATGAAAATTTTGATGTTGAATTAAACATAATTTTATCTGATTTAGAGCACTGTCAATAAATTAGCATCTTTCAATAAAGTATTCTTTTGCTATAGTTATTGATACCATTACACTGAATCTGAAACAAAAGCAGTCACTGAACGAGGCCATTAAGATTATTATATATTCGGGACATAGAATGAAAAGGTTGGGAACCACTGCTCTAAGCGATGCTGATGAAAATACAAGCTCTGATTTACACCTGATTGAGAAGGAACTTAAATCCTAAAAATGCAAAATGAAAACCTATATTACAATATTTCATTAATTCCAATAGTGTAACCGATTCACATAAAGGGTTGAGTTTAATATAGTTTTGTCCATATACCAATATCTGAATAACATGTCCCATATTTCACCATATATCAACATGGTCTTACTGCGTTACTTTATACCTTCACAAAATTATTAGGGTCTTAGAAAATCAACATATATATTGTAGCTTTAATAGGTAATGAGTGCCTAAACTCAGCTTGATTATAACAAATGGCACAGAAAGAACAAACTTACAAGCTGTTACATTTGCCAATCTTCAAAATGTTTCTGAGTAGCAGAGTGATGTCGTTATAGGCCTTCATCTTTAACTCCTTCTTTGCATATTCTGCATATCTGTGGTCCCACAGACATCGATGCTGCCGTATATTTTCTATAAGAAACCCTTCCGAGAGACGGGACCAGACAGGTGCACTTGCGGGAGTATCCATATTCAAAATAACACGGCTTGTCGTTGCTCTTCGTGGAACAAATGTAAACAAACAGCCGAGCAGCTAGTTACCAATTTGTATCTGGTAATATTAAAATCCCAGAGAGAATTTTGCCAGTTAAATAATAATATAAACAATTCAGACTGCGTATATAAATCGTTTTAAAATTACAATATATTTTTTTGCAATACAATAAGGATTACCTAATATAGCTTATGATTTTATAAAAAATAAAAACTTGCAAGCGAAAACGATAATTATCGTTTGACTGGAATTTATCGCATTCACCCAAAAATACAAGCGGTAACGAAAAAAAAAAAAAAAAAAAAACGCGGAAATTGTGCTAGTGTGACACCCCTAAGTTCTAGTAATTCCGCAAAGTCCTGGATCTTGGTCAAAGAAACCTCTAGACCCAAGGGCTTCGCTTCATTACTAAATGCATCAAGAGTCACCACCAAGGTTTCCAAAGACTCAGATAGAATAGCAATATCTTCTGCAAAGTCAAGGTCAGTACCCTTAATATTGCCCAAGTTGCTCCACAATGGCTTTGAAAAGAAAGCTCTACCCAGTCCATGCAAGTGTTTAAAAGTGTGGTGCAAGGACACAGCCTAGCCTCACTCCTGAACTAACAGGAAAGAAGCTCAACAGGCCCTCACCACACTGTACAACACTTTCAGCATCAGTATACAGGCAACATATGGGCGGGTTTCGGGAGGGAAATAATCAATTTAGCACTAAAGAGATACACTCACTCTTAATAGTAGCGAGGAAGCATTAGTGGTATAGGGTGCGACATCACAGATGTGCTGACGAGGGTTCGGAAAGACTTGGGGAGGTAGGTGGGCGAATTGCCGAGTGTGGCGTCGTCCAATGCGAGGATACATCTTCAGCGACTTCGTCGGGGAGGGTAGCACAGGTATGAGTAGTCAGCACGAAGTAGTGTGACAGACATGGTATGGTTTAGGCGTGGATGCAGGAAAGGTTTTGGTAGCGATGGTTGGCGTTAAATTAAGGGAGAGTGGAGCCACTTCGGCAGGAGCTTAAACTTGACAACAGGAGTACTCGGCGTTGTGAAGTTCTTACACATTCGCTTGGGCCACCAAGTGTCAAGAGGTTTGGATGCGCGGAGTGGTGGTGAATGAAAGGGAACTCTAATCTGATTTTATTAGGGGAGTAAAAGGTGGACCCCACGAGAGACCCGCCCGTCGGGGTGCGAGGGCGGCAGCGGTGTATGCAATGTCTCCGTCTGCTTGATCTCCCCCTACAGTCTCAGGAACACGTCCTTTTATGCGGCTCGGCTTTCTTTAAGAGAAGTTGGGAAGTCTTCAACGCAGCTCGAGGGGAAAGGGTGACCTTAGGTCAAACGGCTAGGCTCGGATCTGGTAGTGCAAATCGAGTGCCTCTCTATGGTGATGTACCAAAGTAAGCTGCGCACGAGTACAGCTTCCGTCCGAACCCAGGGATGTGTTATCTGCGAAACTTTCTTAATTCTATATAAATATATAAATATATATATATATATTACAATTACTATCGACACATATATATAAGTCTATATATATGTATATATTATATATATATATATATATATATATATATATATATAATATATATATATGTAAAATATGTATACATATCTATTATATATCTATATCTATCTATATCTATATTATCTATATCTAATCTATATATATATATATATATATAGTATATATATATACATATACATATTTATACATTCCATATATATATATAGTATATATATATATATATATATATATATACATATATATATATATATATATATATATATATATATATATATATATTATATATATATAATATATATAATATATAATATATAATTATAATATGTTTATATATATAATATATATATATATATATAGTATAAGCAGGTATTCTCTAACTATATTAAGGATAATATAATATAAGGTAAGTAGGTAGTATATAATAAAACATAACCCAACAGCGACCAACACATATGGATCTATGCATAATATAGTATGCATAAACATATTAGAAGAATACAAGGGTATACTCAAGTAGATATATAATCATATATAGGTAATGTCTAATAGCACACTACATCAAATGAATATAATTTATATAACTGTACATATCTAAATCACACTAATAAATGAAATATATGAATAACACACAAGATCCATGATTAAGTAATGATACGTAATATC